GGGTGTGGGGTGTGGGGTGTGGGTGTGGATGTGGGGTGTGGGTGTGGATGGCTTGGTGTGGGTGTGGGTGGGCGTGCGTGTGGGTGTGGGTGGGTGGGGTGTGTGGGTGTGGGAATGGGTAGGGTGGAGCGTGTGGATGTGTGTGGGGGTGTATGGGTGTGGATAAACAGAAAGAAAATACATCCACACCCAAACGTATCCACACCGACACCCACCCACACCCACACCCCACCCACACACGCCCACACCCCACCCACACACACCCACACCCTCATCCTTTTTTTATCGATATAATCAACAATAAAAAAATTAACCAAAATGACACCGATTACTTCTTGTCGGGTTAAAGATATTATTGAACTAATATCATTAATAATATCGCTAATTAAATCACCACTATTCATTTTTTTGTTGACAATTGTAATCATTCTATTTGTAGGCATATGTCGTAATGGACAATGGCTTCCGTTGGTACGAGCTTTTATAAAGTTTAGTTCTTTAGTCATAGGTTTGATCATATCGCCGACATCGGCGTGCTTTTTCATAGTTACTTTTTGTGGCATTTTCCGAAGAATTAATCTAAAACAAAATAATGTGAAGAAGGTGCATAATTATAGTACATTTAGCGAAACGAATTAGCGCCACTTTTGTAGCGATAATATATAAAATCAATTTCGAAATATATTACCAAGGAATTCATTTTTCTGCTCGTATCCTTTTTCAAAAAAATTCCTTAAAAATGATTCTCGTCATTCCTATCTCTCGGTCTTTATTCTAATGTAATTTGTAGTATATTATTTCGAGTATATATTACTATCAATGTCTATACCGTGACTTTATTGAAGTATGTTGTGTTCGATCAAAACGTGATTGTTCAGAAACATGATCTTTAGCTGGATGCCATCTAAATTAAATGTATTTTATTTATTGAATAATCCTCTCACTTACTCAATCGGATGGAAAAAGCGAGCATTTAGAAAACATTGTCGATTTGTATTATCATCCCAAACATCATCAGTATTATCATATATAGATTAATTAAAAATCGACAAATTTATATTTAATTCGAATATTTATTTACATCGAAGATGTTGTTGGTGGTCCTCTTGATGTATTTGCAAAACGAATACCACCATCATTTGAAGGTGTAGAAGTAGATATATCTCGTGATTGATCATTTTTATTATTAGATTTTGATTGAAACCATGGATGATCATTTTTTATTATTTCGTTTATTGATGAAGATGAATATTGTTCATTAATAATATCAGTTTTTATTGCTAAAGGTTTTTCGTTAGTTGAAGTTATTGAAGTAAAAAGTGATGCGTTTTGACGTAGTGGAAATGAAGCGATATTTGAGATTGGTTTTTTATAGATTGTGCACTTGTATCTACGATTTCATATTCACCTAAATAGGATACAATTGATACAAGTCTTGATGATGTTATAAGTGGAATAGGAATTGAAGAAACGGAAAGAGTTTTCATTTGATCCATTAGAGGTATTGTTGATGTTTAAAATTGATTTGCTATTGGTGGAGGAAAAATTATTGGAGGTTTATCAATTTGAGTTGGGAGGATAATGAGTGGTGATGTAATTGTTGTTGTTCGATTCGAAGCTGTTGGCAGATTTCTATTTGCGTATTCGTTAGAAGTAAGTGGATCTGCTATGAAATATAAATAACGAAAAGGAAATTCCGAGTGAATAATCTATGAAGTTCATGGAATAAAAACCTGTTCGTCCATTAGTATTGATGATTGTTTCTTGTTTATTTATTTTCTGAACAGGAATTGTTTTCTTAAATGATATTGTTTTCATTTCCATTGGTTATGAATTAATCTTTTCAAGATTTGTTAATATAGCTAAAAAATCCTCTTTTTGAAAATAACTAATATTCAGACATTTTACCTGACATATTTTTATACATTTGCTTGTTGAATAATTGTTAACAGACTTTGATGATTTGTTTCAAATAATTGCGATGACTGTCGATTTGTATTTGGAGCAAGACATGTAAAGCATTATTGAATAGTATCTTTAAGTTTAACTAAATAAAAAAAACAATGAATAAAGGAAGATGAAAAAGAAATATTTACCAACAAATTGCTGAATATCATCATAAATTAATTCTGATTCTGGTGCAAAACGAGTAAATGTTTGTGCAAGTGATAGTAAAACATTAAATGTATCTTGTGGATTGTATATATTAATCCAAGACAATCATCTAAAGCTGGTCGAAGAAATGTATTAACTGCATGAGCAAATGGATGAACTCTGTAGAATAATTTATAGAAAATAATTGAAATAAAGAGAGTCATACTGATGAGCAAAAAATTTGAAAAAAAATAATTTTGGTCGATCGAAACTATTCGATGAGGATGCATATAGTTTCATCATTGATAAACTTTGGTGTTCTATATGAATATTCGGAAAAAGAAAAACGACATGACGATTCGTAGAACCTCACTTTTTTCATCCATTATTAAATTCAATCGGATTTAATGATATCTTCAAGATTCGTTGATATTCCTATTAAGTGCGACATCTTGATTTCGTGAAGACTTCGATTAATAGATTGTTGACTAAGTGAAATTTTAAAAGGATTTTTGCGGATATTCGTGGAGGAATAGGAGGTGATGAGGGTGAATTTGATGATAAAGTTTCAGAATTTATATTCATTGAATTTAATATATCAGGCGATTTAATCGGTAATTGTTGGGCTAAAATATGTCCCTGATCATTATTCATTAGATCAGATTGAAAGATAATTATTTGTTTAGTTGTTTTTGCCTGAAAGAAACGATAAAAAGATTTTTATACGATATAAATTTTAACGTTACTTCAGTGTTTGATGCAATCATCGGTTTAGTTGAACTATTAGTTAATTCAATTTGTAAAGCATTTAAAAGAATACTATTTTGTTTTTTTCAATGAAGACTTTTCGCAGAACGAGACATTCGATACTAGTTCTTGTTGGACTATGTTGTATTGAAATACTTGATGATCAATTATTAGTAAATAAAACTCTACTACATGATCCATTATTTGGTGATGTTTCATCAGTTCGATAAAGACTAGATGTTGATGACTTTGGTTGTTTACGACTAATAATATTATCATTTGTAGTTCGATGAGAACTTATTTTTATAGGTGAAATATGTTCATCAGATTTTGTCTAAAAATGAAAATCAATAAATTTGAAAAACAAGAAGTTTTTATCTACTGATGGTGTTATTCGAGTATTTTTTTCGTTGATTTTGTTCAATATCAAATTGTTCTCTTGGTGAAATTATTATATTTTCATTTGATTATATTTGATTATTATCATCAGTAATTGAATTTGGTATTGTTGTTGTTGAAGGACGACGAAATCTTGCAACAACAATATTCGAATCTGATGATTCTCCATATTGACCATATGTTCGAAGTTTTATTTTACATTCTCCTTCATCATGAATACAATCAATAATAACTTCAAATCAATGGCGGATTTAGAGGGAGGGCACTGGGGGCGATCGTCCCCTTCCAAAGAAGTTTTTCGATTTTTCCCAGCAGAAAAGGCTAAAAAATGAGCTGATACTACCTCTAATGAGCTTCAAAACACGTATTATGGTCATGATCGCCCCCCCCCCATCCCCACGGAAGCGCCTCAGGGTGTGGGTGTGGACATTGTCTTCAATGACACCTGCCCGCACCCATATTCACCCTCACCCACATGGGATGCCGTTCCCCTATTGATTGATGGAATGTTAATGATGCTTCGATGAAGAATATGCCAAAAACTAACAATCATGTAGAATGCTACAATAGCAAACTTGCTAGATTATTTCTAATTCATCCAAATATTAACAGATTTATTGAACTTCTACGTGATGAACATTGATGTCAACATCATATATCTATGCAACCAGGCAACATAAGTTGACTGAATGTATTAATGCTCAGCTTTTTACTCTTCTCAGTGACACATCAATGGTGAGCTCACAGACTTACGATTGGCCCTTGCAAATGGTAAATCTGTAAAAAAAAACTTTTCTTTGTTATATAAAGAGTGGCCCAGAATTTCTGACTCAGTTTGAATAATAAATTTTTCTTTAGTGCAATACGTAGTTGAAAATTTGTTTCTCGGGTGAAAAGATGCAGTAAAACATTCTCTACAAAATGGCTTTTGATTGACCCTGGTAGCTCTTATAGTAACAAAGTTACAAGGTTAGAAATATACTTTTAAAAAAAATGAAAATTAACTGTGAAGTTTTCACAGGTAAAAAAAGAAAATAGTGGACTGAATATGGTTGGAGCATTCAGTTTACTGCCAAAGCCACTCTAAAGTCATTATAAATTTAATTCTAGATATCAAACACGATTGTTGTACACGAAAAAGTAGAGTTTCGAAACTTTAATGAATTCAAGAACCCCTTTCGGACTACATGCATTCGTACAAAATCCTTAAAAACGTTTCCTAGATCCTTGATAAGTCTTTTGAAGAGCCTAGTAAGAATGTACGTGATCTCAATGGATTTTGAATTCGTTGCAATTTCGAAACTCTACTTTTTCGTGCACAATAATCGTGTTTGAAATCTGGAATTAATTTTATAATGACTTTAGAGTGGCTTTGGCAGTAAACTGAGTGCTCCAACCATATTCAGTCCACTATTTTCTTTTTTTACCTGTAAAAGCTTCACAGTTAATTTTCATTGTTTTTTAAAGTATATTTAAAAGCCATTTTGTAGAGAATGTTTTACTGCATTTTTGCACCTGAGAAACAAATTTTTAACTACGTATTGTTCTAAAGAAAAATTTAAATATTCAAACCGAGTCAAAACTTCTGGGCAACCCTTTATGTAAATGTCTATGAGCTTTTCAATGTGGACAAGTTTTGGATATGTTTGGCTTGTGAGTGACTGAACAATAAAAATAACAACCTTCTTCATACGTTTCTCTAATCATAAATATTGATCTTTCCATTGATTATGTTTTTTCAATGAACTCAAAAAAAAGTGACTTACTTGCTGCTTGCATGACAGTCTAATCTATGAATTTGACCAAAAAAGAAGAAGAAAAGACTTTGAACTTCATCTAAATTCGATATACTACGCCGCTTAGACACCGAATTGATGAAACCAATTTCAGCTTAGCTTCATTATCATCGGTAAGAGTAACAGATTTTGATAAGAACGTATGAGTCTGAAGAAAAAGTTTGTAAATCTATTTGATATTTATATGAATCTCTTCTGCTCTACGGATTCTTACTGTTATAATCATTGAATGAATAACGACGAACGTAGCATCTTGCACATAGAGATGATATGAAAAATGATCACGTACTATTTTTGTGAATCAATTCAGCTCGTATGAATACAATTGCAGTATTTCATTTCTTTAAAAACAAATTGCGCGGAAAAATGGAATATTCTCATGAATGACTGATTAAAAATTGTAGGGTGTAATAAACTATTTCACGTCGGTGGAAATTATTAGATTTGAAATAAAATTGAGGAAATTATGGGTTTTTTTATTTATTTATATAAAATAGACGAAAAAGACAAATTTACTGTCGTAGACAGTGATATTTTTAAGATGAATATTGATGCTTTACATTTGTATTTAGATGTCTTTTTTGACCTGTATGAATTTTTCCATTAGATCGATGATTGGATATAGAAATTTGTTGTAACGATAAAGCTCGTTGATTTGAATGATAATTAAATTTTGTTTGACAACAACAACAAAATAATTTTCGAAGAATTTTCGAAAAACTTTGTCGAAATTTTGAACAAAATATCGCATAAACAATTGGATTTGATGCTGAACTCAATGTTACTAAAAGCATTGTAAAAGCAAGAAAATAAGGTGTTGTTATAAATTGTGGAACAGTTTGAATAATATTTGTTTCAAATAAAGTAAAAACAAGAACTTGTGGACTAAATGAAATAAAATAAATAAGTACAACAATAAAAAGCATTTTTATAACACTTCGACGAGATTTTAATGCATTATAGGTAATTGTTGTTCGACGTATAGGATAAGAATTTTTAAACGGTTGACGAATTAATGGACACTTATTTTGATTGCGAACGTTTGAAAGATAAATATTATTTTGTCGTAATAAACGTTGAGAACGACGAATTGATGAACGAGATATTGTATCTATTGTTGTAGATTTTGTACTTGAATTTTCATCATTATCAATATAATAGTCTTCATCATCAATACAGTCCTGTAAAAAAAAAAACAATTTTCAAAAAAAACATCAATAAAAACAAAAAATAAACCTGTGTTCGATGAATTGTAGCTTTTCCAATAGTATAATATGATGTTTGAAGTGTTTCATCAACATTAAATAATTGTCGAGCGATTCTTACATAACAATAAAATTGTAATAGAAGAGGAAGAAAATAGAATATAATTGATTCAAATGATTTATGAATAATATAACTACGTTGATTTAAAAAAAATTCTTTAGAATATTGAAGACCACATGAACGACGAAATGACAATGGATTTATTGATACACGTAAATAAATTAAATTAGGTGATGCACATATTAATGAAAATATCCATACTATAATTGTTGTTAAAACAATATGTTTTTTTTCACGTAAAAATTTTGAACGAAGTGGATAAACAATACCAATAAATCTAAATAGAATAATAAACAAATTTTTGATGAAAAAAAATAAATAAAAAAAAATAAACATAAGAATTAAAACCTTTCAATAGTTAATGCACACATGTTAAGTACAGATGCATATTGTGCAAGAACAAGTGTTGTTCTAATAAATTTACAAGCTAATTGACTAAGAACCCAATTGCCATTATTAGATGAAACAAATTGAACAATATCCGGTATATTAAATAGAAGTATAATAAAATCACAAGAAGCAACACGAACAATAAGTTGATTTGTTAATGATCGTCTCATTCGAGCATCAAATTCAACTGATATAATAACTAAAAGATTTCCCAATATTCCAACAATTGCAATTATAATAAATAAAAATGTTAATATATAATTAACATTTATATTCATTGATTGAAATACATTATTTTCACTTTTATTCATTTTTCCATATGAATTCTTATTATCTAAAAAAAACAGAATATATTTGTTTCACGCAAATAGAGATGATTAGAAACAGATCCTCTTATTTCTCTATCTTGTTTTTCATTATATTAGCTTTGAGCGACAACGCCTGTTTTTATTATAAACATATACGACAAATAAAATATATATCTTTCTTCCAAACAAATATACAAACTTTATTTTATCTCATTTTATTAACATATTTAGTCAAAATACATTTTATTTTAATTATTATATTTAATAATAAAAATCTAGAAAAATATTAAATTGTCTTATAAATAGAGATTTTACAAGAATCTAATTATTACTTAACAGCTAGAAACTACCGAATATTCATTGATGTTATTTTCTTGCATAGATAAATAATTAGAAATTTCAATATTATGATGATCTTCTCTGTTATTTTACTTTGTGCATAAAAAGGAACGATGATATATATATATAAACAAATAACTGCGCATCGATAAATTATATAACTGACTATCCTATAAATAATCTAATTGATCTTATCGAAACAAATATACTATATATCTTGTAAAATTTATGTGTAATTTCTAAATATAAAAATCCAGACATCATCTCTATATGTCGAAGTTGCTTTGATGTATCGAAATAATTAATGAGAAACAGGTCATGATTATAATGATAGTTCGACCTCCTACGATAAATAATATTCTCCATATTTCTATTTTTATTCTTCACTATGTTATTATTTGTAGATGAATAATGATGAAAACTTCTCTCATCGTCATCAATGTGAAAAACATAATCAGATATGTCTATCATACTTTTTTTTTTGGCAGCTAGACATACAGACAAACAAGCTTAATATATACATAAGAATTATATATGAAATATAGTTTAACACAACAGATGAATAATTTACTTGTTGAGCTGATAATATAGGTGAATGGAAAAAGTTATCAATATGTTTCCTTTTATGTAATATTTACCAGTTTTCTTCCTCTTGAGAGATTAATATCAAATAACTACAATGACCTTTTTTTCTTAGTGTATTTAGGGAATGTCTCAATGAGGATTATATCTCTTTAGTTCTTTTATGAATCACAAATGTCATTTTTATCTGTTTTCTATTGAAAAAAACGACTAAGTGTTTCAATATCAAACAATAAGTTTTGACTTAATCTATAAGACATTTCATTGTATCAAAATCTCTTCTATGAACTTTTCTTCCAATGATTTCTAATATGAGAAAACGTAGATTAATGTATTATTTAGTATTATTTTGACAAAATAATTCTAATAGAGATTTTTTTTTTTTTTTATTCATATATAGACATATTTGTAATTACTAATATTCAGTATTGATCAACATATGCTTAAATATTTACACTTCATATAGTTATTTGTCAAAGACAACAAGAATTTTTTCATAAAAATATTACATCAAATCGAGTTAATCAAGTTATTTTTATTAGAATAAATTGAATTGAGAAAAAATAATAAAATAAATCTTACCTATGATTTCATATTGAAAATACTGAGAATATGTTTAATGATATAGAAGAGAAAAAAATAAACATAAATCAAAAATAAATAAAAGATATTTTAAAACAAAAGTCATTATATAATGTAAATAGTCTTTCATATATTCTAGTGCATTTCTATTTTATATATATATAAAATAAATCAAATGTATCCGATGAATAGTAGTCGTTAGTAAGATACAAAAGGTGAGCATCGGCATTTCATTTATTTTTCTGTTCGTACGAACAAAAAAAAAACGAGTCTGATAAAAAGAATAATTACTTTCTGTTACTTACATTTTTCTATCTTGAAATAAAAAAAAAATAAAAAGAAATGTCTTGTTTTTTTGTCATTGACAATATATTGTATTATTATCCGAGATTGATGTGTTCTTCTAGTCAAAATTATGAAAAAGAAGAATTAACAAGATCAATCAATTAATAATGCAAATAAAATATATTCTTGTGAGAAAAGAAAAAGGACAAAAAAAAAGTAATTTTGAATTGTATTATAAGTCAATGTATTCCAATAGCGTCATTTAGTTTGTCAAGATACAAACAGGTGCAACTTTAAATTGAAGAAAGAAAAAAAAAAGAACATTTGTAGCTGATAGACAAATATGATATTTATTCTCATTCCTTCATTCAAGCACAATATTGTTTTCAGGAAACAAAAAAAAAGAAAATTGTCATCAATAATTCAACCAAAAGGAAGTTCGTTGTTAATTATTGTCAAACATGAATTTATCATCGTCATTTTGACTTGTTAAATATCTATGATGATAAATTAACTTTGAATGGAAATAATCCGATAACGTTTATGATCTGATATCGATTAACTCCTAAAACAAACCTTATGTCATTTTTTCTATTCTCAACTATTTTTTTGTTTTCAACGAAAGATTAAATCATTGATTTTGTATTTAAGAAGATCAATCATCTGTAATTATTCTCTACTGATTAAAATCTAGGGACTTAAATGAAAATATTTTATGGATCTAAATTAATCGAAAAATAAATCTACGCATTTTCTTTTTTCTAGCAAATAATCAAAGATGAGAACAGTCAAATTATTTCAATCATAATCAATTTTATACAATTGATTTAAATATTCAACTTTTCAAATTTTTTCTGATCTTTTCTAAACTAATATCATGTTAAACAGACTTAAATGCTTTTTAATCTGAAAAATTCATATAGCTTGACATGATATATATCAATTCACTCAAGAATTTAAATTCTAAATAAAATAATTCATTTATAATAGATTGACAGATTTCACAAAATTCATTGAACAGTTTATATTATTTTAAATTCTGAATTTTATACGAAACATTTCAAATTCAAGATATTATTTTCAGATATTAATTAAATACATTACCTTGTAGAGCATAAATCAGTCAAAAAATAAAATTCTCTCAAAGATTTTCCAATTTTTTACTAATGACAGAATCTATCCGAGTGAAAATCTCCGTTCGTCTCCTATTCTGCTCATAGTGACGATAAAAACATTAAAAAGGTGTGTGTGTGTGTCGCTAGGTATTTCTTCTCCGACTATCGTCCTTTTGTTGAACCTTTAGCCTATTGATATTCTACACGCTTTGAGTCAAACGGATGTTTTGCTTCTGAACTAACACATACAGAAGAGCTTCAAAAATAGGTCAGCCTTTAGGTATACTATATTTTAAGAAGAAATCATCAGTTTGAGATGAAAATTAGATGATATCATAACAACCATGATAACTATTTGTTCGAGAGAATTTTAGGATGAAATCTATTATTGCTATTTTTCTCGTGATGTGTTGCAATACGGTGAAAGTTCAGTAAAAGAGAAATATTTGAATTTAAACAGAGATTATCAATTCGATAGGTTCACTCGTAAGATTGAATAATGAATCTTTTTTTGTTTTTTTCAATAAAAATCTTTATTTGTTATGAGATATATATCTATATTCAAAATTATTGCCTATAAATAGATTTTAAATATTTGAAAGACATCAAAACTATACTGAGAGAGAATACATTCGAAGTCTACGACAATCACAGTAATAAGCAATGAAATTGCTGTACATGTCCATAAGACTCGAATGTTAATTGTTGTTTTAGTTTTCTCTAGCGTTTTCCATCAGAGAATCGAGTTTACGCTAGTAAAAATTTCTAAAAGAAATGCTATATATTAATATTAGTATAATTCTTTCGTTTCATCTAACATAGCACACAATAGAAACCTTTGAAAAACGTGATCCGCTTAAGTCTCTCCTTTAGTTTTGTTCAATAGAATTAAATTGTTTTCATAAATACTTTTTTTCTGAGTTAAAAAAAAAAAGAAAATTTTTTTCCTATCTATAAAATAAAAATTGATGATGACCGTAAAAAAAGGATTGTTTTTTAATCAATGTTTCAAGTTGATTACCTTTAGTCTTACTAAAAACAAAATATTGTTGAAAAAAGAAAATGATGAGTTGCCATGAATATATCTCAAATAATATAAACAAAATACTGATTACTATCAAAGCTCTCTATCATTTTTTGAAGTAACAGCATCAAAGAAATTGAGCACTGGTTTGCCTGACAGAAACTGAGTGAGAAAAACTATCTTCTGTAATTTGATAGAGGCGACATAGAAAGTGGAGAGTGGAGCTATTCAAGTTCAGCCCTTTCTACATCGAGGTCTATAATCTCTATTCATATATGAATTAGCTAAGAACGGTAATACTTGACAACTTCAGTTTTGATACTTGTAAAGTAATCAGTATACTTTCAAGTTTAGTTATAAGAAAAAAAGATTCGGAATAGTTAACAATGATTGATTTAGTTTAATGATTTTGTTGTCGATTGACCAGATACTCAACCATAATTTATTTTTATTCAAAAAGAAAAGAAAACAAAAACAATTATCGAAGACGTTTATCTTTTAACAAAGCATCTCGAAGTGCAATCTAGAAAAACAAAAACAAAGAGATATTTAATTGAATAGTAGATATTAATTGAATAAAACCTGTTTATCACGGAATGATCGTTTTTGTTTTTTTCTCAATTTTGGTTTAAGCATTTGAAAATTTTTAGTTTTTAATTTTTCTTTATTTGTTGTACCGGCTCGACCTTTTTCTTTTTTCCATTTACCAAATTTTTGTCGACCTTCACGACCCGCCTTTAAATATAAAACACATTATTATTATTATAGAAAAAACAAAACAAAACAAAACATGAAAATTGAACTTACAAGAACAGTTTCTAAACGAGATTCTTTATCATGAGCACGTTTTTTATGTACTCGTTCAATATCTTTTAATGATATTAATCCCAAACTAAATAATTTAAAATAAATTGAACACAAGAAAAAGAATAATAATATTAAACAAACTTTTGTTCTGAATTTTTTTTTTTATTTTCATCATCCGAATCCGAATCAGTATCAATTGAAATTGTTTTACGTTTTCGACTATTTTCTATTGATTGTTCTAAACGATTTTTTCTTCGATCTTGTATACGTTTTTTCATTTCAAGAATTTTCAATTGTTCAAAATCACGTTGTGTTAAAATTCTTTGAGTACTTATTGATATAGCTCGTTCACGACGTTCTTCTTCTGTCATTTCTTTTTCCACCTACAATTTTACAACACAACAATTTTGCATTTATTATTTTTAGTCATCCAAATTTCAGGACACATTAGTTTATTGCTCTATACAACCAACTATTTTAGTATAAGAGAAGTTTCATTATAGCGACATATATGTTTCTCCACTGTTATTTTAGGAAAAAAACACCGGAAGAAATAGACATATTTATCCTTCTTTTCTTGGAGAAAAAACGCAAAAAAACTAATGATAATCGTCTAGTTTAATTATTATAGATAATAACATAGAGAATATAGAATTATCTCTAGTAAAATATCATTAGAATGATCTTAAAGAAAAGTGCTTTTACTTTATCAGTATTTTGTTGATCATCGTTTTGATCATGATTATCATCCTCTTTGTCATCATCATCATCATCATCATCGTCATCATTAGAATGTGAAACATCAATCCAATCTTCTTCACTGCTTTGTTCTTCTTCATCTAGTTCATCATTTGATTGTTTATCTTGATCATCAATATGTTGTTCAAGTATTTCTGCACCGTCAAGATAAGATTTTGGATTTAATTGTCCATAACCAAGTGGAACAAGTTCTCTTTGAAATTCAGTTGGTTTTCCTCGATCTTTTCTTTCTAAAAGTTGTGGATTTTTTTCACGAAATAATTGAATTAATGATCGAGCAGATGCTGAAACAGATTTATCACGATATGATTTATATTTTGAAAGATCATGTAATAAATCTTCATCCATAGCTAAATAACATCGAGAACAAATTTCTCGAATTGTATTTAAACTAAATAATAAAAAAAAACAAAATTATTCTAAAGGAACAATAGAACTTTTATAATTAAAAAAAAACAAACAAACCCAACAGCCATAACTTCACCAGAATTTCTTTCCGTAATAAAATTATTTGCAATTGTTTTACAAATACTTTGTAAAATATCAGGTGGAACAATTTCATGTGATGCTTGTGCAACATATAAAAGAATTTTTGTAACTTGACGTTGATGTGGTTGAAGATATCTTTGTAAATATGGATAAAAATTTAATAAAAGTAATTGATGAAGACCAATTAAACGTGATAATAAATCTTGATGAAGTAATTTTACTTCAAAACGTTCATTTGATGTTTCCAATTGACGAAATAAACGTTCAGCAAAATCTATTCGAAAGAATTTTTTTTTAATTAATTTTTTTCTTCTTTTTTTTTTACCTTGTGGATCATAAAGAAGATGTAAAGCTGAATAATCAAATATTTCAACTTTTTTTTTCTTTTTTTGTTTCTATACAATGAAAAAACAAACAAAGGAAATAATTTTATAATTTTATGTTGTTGTTTTTCTTTTTTTGTATGAATTAATAAAGATAACTAACTTCAAGTGCTCTTAATGCTCGTTCAGTTTTTTTCTTTCGTTTTGCGGATTTTTTTCCAACACGATGACCAAGTAAAATATCTTTTTTTGTTAATTTTTCATCCTAAAATTAATTTATTGTTTTTTTTTTTTTTTTCTAAATTAAATGAATAAATTATTTTTGTTTACATCATCAGAATCGGAATCTTTATCATTATCTTTATTTTGATTGTTACATAAAAAGAAATTCAATGCTGCTACTTGAACCTAAAAAAGAATTATGAAAATGATTTGTATAACAAAAAAAGAAAAATTTATTTGAATAAATAAACAAACTTTTGTGATTTTTGAAAAACATGTCGAACCGATGATATTGGCTGTTTTTGCATCATTCCAAATATTTTTTCGATATAAATCAATCATTATATCCTACAAGAAAAATTCTTCAAATTTTTCAACTAATGAACTTTCATGAAAACAACAATCAAGAGAAAATCTTTCAGCTCTAGTTACATGAACAAAACTGAAAAGCTTAAGTTTTTAGTCTAAAATCATACATAAATATATCCCTTAAAATTAAAAGGAAAAGACATTATTCTAGAAGAATTATGAATATCCTATATCAATAACTCTTAAAAGCATTTCCAACTGATAATCCACAATAAAGAACATTCTCAGTATTTTCTTAATATTTCTTTCAATTTTCATAGTTTTGAATTAATTTTTTTTTTCAAAATATTCACTGTATAATGCTCTACAAAACTATATACTAATAAGTATCACGAGAATAAAAAGTAAAATAATTATTGTAATTATACTACGAATGCGGAACATCAACAATTTTGACAACAAAAATATATAAACAAACTCTACTATAGATATTGTCGATCTTCAAAAGTTCTCTCAAATTCATATATCTGTGACATTTGTCAATCAAGGAAGTAAGAGTCTTACCAGTGCCATCTTAACAGCAATTGCATTACTTTCTTTAATAATAGTACACATAAAATTTTGTAATGTCTAGAAGAGATTCAAGATTTATAGTAATATGACTGAAATAAAAAATACGAACACTATTTAATTTATGATTTTTATGTTTTTCATTTTGTTTTTTAATATCATTAATAATATGTGCTTGAATAGTAACACGTAAAAGACGATCTTGACATTGTAATAAACGAAGAAAAAACAATTCACATAACGAAATACAATCAATTAAACCGCGATTACGCATCAACATAAGTGCACGTACAATAACCTGAAAATGATTTAAAGAAAAAATAGCAAAGATTTAATATATTGAATAAGATATTTAATTTACAAGTCGAATATCATTATTGAGAATAGTTGAATAAAGTCGAAGAACATCCATAAACATTTGTGATAGTCCTTTACATTCTTCAGGATAACAATGAGCAACCTTAATTCAAAAACAAAAATCAATATTTTTATTTCAAAATAATAAAAAAAGTGTAAAATTACTTGTGAAACAAATGAAATATTTTCAGCTAATGATTTATTCCATGTATCTGGCTTAGCTGTTAATTCCATAAATTGACTTTCAAAATGAAGATATTGAAGTTTAAACTAATTTATCAAAAAAATATTATTTTATTTAAAATAAGATTTAATTTTTTTTCTTTACATCTTCACTATATGCATCTGGATCTCGTTTGATTAAATTTTGTAAATGAGGCAAACTTCGAGTCAATCTATCGTTCGCTGACATTTTTTCTACAATTTAACACAAGAATAATTGAAATAAGAATATTATTTCGAAATAAATTAGTTGTAAGTAATGAGCGAAGATAACTTTGTGAATACTAATGATTCATCACTGATTTCAAACGGATAGTTATTCAACCAATGATAATGATTTTTAATTACAAGTACAAAAAAGTTAAAAACCATTTGTGATGGAAAATAAAATTTGTTATTTTTTCTATTAAATTCATCATAGAAGTCATAAACATATTATTTCCTCGAAATAAAGTCATATAACTTTTTTCTTCCATTAAATCAATAAGAATAGAACGACTGTTCAGTGGCGCCCTCTCATCTTTTTTATCTCTAATTTTTGATAAATCCAACTTCTTTTGTGTCATGATCTTTGTATTGATCTTAAAATCAAAAATATCCTATTCGAAATTGTCTATCGCATCTTGCATCCTTGACAGAATCTTTCTTTATCGATGTGGATACGAGTGAAACTAGAAACCATACTGATAAATTACAAAATACTTCTAATATGAAGAACTTGATTAGATATAATAAAAATGTATAACTTATTCTTTAATAGAGTTTCTACTTTTATCATCAAATGATGGAAGTTACTAGCAAAGCTTCTCCAACAACAAATGAAGCTTTATCATTCAATCACATTCAAACATGAGATACCTATTTCGAGTCAGTGGCCGCGCGAAGGTTCTAGGATTGGGGGGTGTAAGTATTTTGAAAAGTGTTGACAACGGCGTGCACAAGAAAAATCATCTAACGACAACCAGGAGCATACTTGGCTTCTAACCGTCAACAGTGTTATAAAGGCTCACTCGAGATATGTGTTATTCAATGAAATACAAAGCCTCCTCGCAATCGCCACTATTAATGTTTCAGACGACAGTACAACATTTATAGAATTAAATTAAATCTTTTCTTTGAATATTAAATTATAAAATCAACAAATATTATTGTCTATTTTTCATGGCTAAAAAGTTCAAAATTTTCATTTATTGGATGCTTTAGTTATCTATCAGACCTTATGAAAGTGATCAATAGGAATGACCTTAAGGTGAGACAAGGTACAGAGTATCATTTTTTTTTCTATTCATCATTATATAAAAATAATAATAAACACGAAGACTTTAGTGTGAATTGAGAAATGAGTAAAGAAGAGACTTCATAATCTCTATAATCGAATTCACATGAATCTTGATTATGCTAGTTTATTCGACTGCTTGAGCTTATTTGTATTTAATAGTTGTAATTCACTGCAGAGGATCAAATGTAACGGGTGTGGGTATAGGTGTGAGTGATGGTCAATAACAAACTCAACCCACACCCACACAGAAATCTGTGGAATGCTGCGGTGGAGCGTATCTGATGAAGATTGATTTAGTTGAAAGAATATATTCAAATTAAAGATAACAAAATATCCCTAATTACAAAATTTTCGATTCTTCAGTAAATGCTAGTTATTTATAAATAAACAATATTTGTATTGTTGCCATCATTGGAATCCATATGGATCTAAATTTGTGTAGTCATCGTTTTGAATAATTACATTTCTATGAAATAATTCTATTTTGTTATTATCAGTTTGTTTAAATATAATCGGACAAACACAAAATTTTGTTAAATAATTGATTAATTCCGATTTATACATATGACCTTTACCAATTTGATATCCAATTAGTCTGACAGAGAATTTATATCCTTTGTCTTCTTCCGGTAACTTTGAATCAAATTCTTGACTTTGAAGTTCATAAGTGCTAAGAGTTTCTCCTTTTTGAATTTTTTCTAAACGCCATTTTGCTCGATCATATTTCGTATCTCCATTAGGAATATAAACTCTATATTCTTCAAATTTTATTTGTTCTTCTTTAGTTTCTGAATTTTTCATTGGAACTTTTTCATAAATTATTCCACCTGAAGAAACCGTTTTATCGTTTAGAGATTGTTCATATACGTTTTCAATATGACAAGCAAATAATTTAGCTTGTTCTAAGGACATTAAAGGAATAGAAGATAAACAAATTGGTTTGTTGACATCAATAATATCTTCATTATTATTTGAAACAGCAGGAACTGATCCTTCGATAGTTGTTGCTGTTGTAGAACCATTAGAATTACTCATGATTGGAGATTGAGTAACAATAATAACAATAATAATTACAGGAAATCAATGAATGATGTTGGTGAAACTAAGTAATGATGGAATCTTATTGTTAGTTAAAAGTACTTCAAACTAGAATCTCGTTTAAAATTTGGTTCAAGTTTTACTTCAAATGAATAAAAAGAGGGAGAAGTGAATTAATGTACAACTAAGGCACTCGGTGTATGAAAGTGAAGTGAAAAGAAAAGCATGGGAGTGAGAGTAAATTATATGTGTGTGTGCCAACTATATATACGAAAAGAAAGAACTAGAAAAACATAGGTGCTGTATGAATAATCTATATGCATAATATTGAGTGCGAAGAGAAGAACTAGAAACAAAAATACAACAGGAAGAAAAAGAGAAAATAAACATATAGGAAATATGTGAAAGGCCAACAGCCTGTAACAGTCTACTCAGCCATGGCTCTCGGCTCGATTGAACTCGATCCGAACACGAACCTGGATGTCTAACGTGTAAAAAAAATATCAGCATAGTTGAACAAGGATGAAACATAGAGAAAAAGTGTAAAATAATATCTTTGGAATATAATGACATTTTCTCGATCTCTCACTGTAGGTTCCGATTTTTTTTAAAGACAGCATCGCTTTTAGTTCGAAGAAGACATACGTCAAAACTAGATGTTAAAAAATATCGAAAAACACTCATATAATGATGCACTGCTTGTTTTCTTTCTTTTCTCTCTCAAAAACTGTCGAAACAGTATCTAAGCAATCGTGCCCTACTATTCTGCACTTTTTGTTTTTTCGTTCTTCAAACATGACGCAATAACATCAACGTGGCAAAATATGAATATATTAATTATATGTGTAGAAATGTTTAGATTATTCACTTCAATAGCAGACGAGTATTGCTCATTACACCCATTTTATGAGAAATAGTAAATGATTCAAGGATCTTTTTTTCTTTCATAAAATGATGAAATATTTTCTTATTAAGTCTGCCCTATACGTGTTGGAATTTTCCTTTCTTGCTAGGCAAAGGAAATATCCACATGTCATTAACAGATAATAACAAATAGTGAAGACATTTATAAATAGTCGTCAGCCAGATTCATAACGAAAACGATGGCTACTAAAGAAGTATAAGTTATTGATAGAATTCTCGTCTACGATGTCCATACAGCAATCCTTGATAATCATCTTTAGAAAAGATCGATTGAAAACTTACCAAGATGTTGAACATATTCGATGACTGTACTCTATGGACGAATTCAAAACTTCACAGGAACTTGTCCACATTGGATTTAAGTCACCAAAATACACCGAAATGTTCCTTTAAGAGGGTTTCATTAATGTTGGTTACCTTCGTTGTCAAGTGAAGTCTTTAAAACTGACTATGCATGTAAGGAACAAACTTGAAAATAACAATGGATCAGTTTATACGTCAAAGATATCTACTGAAAAACAGCAAGTTACTGATAAAATTCTCGTCCACGATGTTCCTACAACAATCGCTGAGAATGATCTTAGGAGTCACTGCACTAGAACCTCGCCTGAACCTCTGATATAGCTGCTCAACCAAAAATTTTAGATTTGGATGTGAGTTAGCACATTTTGTAGAGCAAATCGTTTTACAACTATAGTCAAAAGTTTTAAACTTAACCAATGAGTTTTGGTTGATATGTCATGATCTATAGTCCATAATGTTATCGTGCATATAGTTTGATTTGAACTACAAGTTGATGTAGTTTGAAGTTAAAATATCGAGAAAATTCATTGAAAAAATGCAACAACAAGGTATCAGTGTATGATCGGTCGGAAAAAAATGTTTTTGGTCTTGACACAATCGTACAAAAAGACGCTTCGGTGCTTCCTCTTTCTAATGACGAAACCCCTAGCTCGATAGCCTTTGCGGATCAAAAAGTTATTCAAAAAATGGCCACGGCCATTTAATTCTGAAATGGACTATAGTAATAGCACCAAAAATAGCTATCTATTGCTGTTTTGTTAATTTAACATATTTTTTTGTCAGTCATTGATCTGAAATTTTTCAGGATAACTCATCATTAGTAGGGTGTGGGCGTGGTTTCACTCTTCTCTTCAGCTACATGCATACCCACCCACGTATGTACATATGTTCGTGTCACTTCACGCGAATTCTTCGCTTTGATGATTGTTTTTAGTTCATTAACACCATTGAATCGGATTTTTCGAGGATGAGATTTCAGTTACAACTCTGATATTTAGGATGTGGGTGTGGTCCTTCTTTTAACCCACCCACACCCACACTCTCTTATTTTCTTTCTCATCGAACGACAGTTTTGCTCATTTAAATATTTACCTATGAAGAAGACGAGATGCTGAATTGAAAACAAATAATAGTCTATGGTCTTTTATATATTTAGGTAAATACGTTCATTATGGACTGTTTCATTGTGCTTCTCCGACTTGTATGAGAAGATATTCATTATTCACTTTCGTCAATGAGTGCACAACACGGGACTTCTCTCTGACGAACAAACGGGATTCAGGCCTGGTCACAGCTTGACAGCACGCATCGTAGCTCTAATAGCTCAGATTTGGCAAGGTCTTGCGTTCAATACTGCTACAGCAGCTGTATTTGTGGACTTCAAGACGGCTTTTAACCAACTTTGATGCACAGGTCTATGGATTAAACTCAAAAGATTAGAATGTCCTCTATATCTGATTGCATGGCTAAGGAATTACTTGTCGGATCGTAAAGCATATATTGAAATCAAAGATTGAAGATCGGCCATCTTTTTCTTGTACAAAGGTGATGCCACAGAGCTCCTGCATTGAACCCGTCGTATTCATCGTGTTCCATTATAATTTAATAGACTCAATCTCAGATCTATATTGGAAGCATCTCTTTGC